AGCACCTTCCCCCCTAAGTGCAGAGGGCAGGCAGAAAGTCCCTCCCCACAGTTGTAGGTTGTCTGAGCAGAAGGAACTACAAAACAGACCAAACGCTCTGCTGCTCTGGAAACTCAGCTAAAAACCTATCAGAATATACACCGGCTATACTTAGCTGTAGCAGTATAAAGGGAGCAGATAAGAAGCAAGAGCCCCTCACAAGACATGTGTGTGTGGGAAGAAGCACTGATACAGATGGCAAAATGCTCACCCTGGCTGGGAAGACCTCCAACTTGGAGCCTGCTGATTTAAGAGGATATAAAAGACAGTTAAATGAATCACCCCAGAAAGATCATTCCTCACTATACAAAAGTGGATGGTAAATAGGAAAAAAAAAAAAAAATGTTTCTAACTTGCTACGTCAATTACAAGTTTTTTTATTTAGTTCTTTTTACAGGTGTTATATTTAAAGAAAGTAAAACAGAAATTAGATCCAGCTTCCGGGGGGGAGGAAAAAAAATAAAAAAGTTACTTACTAGGCAAGGTGAAAAGCTTATATTGCTGTATGACCTGCTGCTGAAACAGCTAAAATATGTTCTGTTCTCATCTTTGCCCAAGACTCGAACCCAACGGCTCTGTGTAAGAGATGAGAAACTGAGAAGGGTGTAGACAAACTGCCATGTCCCACCAGCTTCTAAGTCACCAGAGAAGCCAAGGCCAAACCTAAGCCAGGACCTGAAGCTGTAGCATGTTTTACCACCACATCCCAGAATTTCTAAGCCAACTTTATTCACTGCCTAGAAGGTAGAAGGCTATTTGTCAGAAAGTCCAGTGTCAGACACAAGTCACTGAACTATAACTGCCAACAAGTTTGCTCCAAAGCATTTAACTTTAATAACCACGATAATCCTGTTCTAAAGTAACAGTGTGACCTAATTCCCTCCCTTTAACACTTGGCAGTTGCACTCGCTGCAGCCACACACATTACAGCTCATTTCAAAACTGAAAGCAGCGTTTGCACAAGCGTGCCCGCCCCGCAGTGCACGGGAGCACCAGAGGAACTGCCCGTGCAATTTTCACGCAGTCATGAAGCAGAGTGGATTCCACATGTAAATTATAGATATTGGGATGCCAGAAAACTTCTCTTTTTCTCAAGCACACACATAATCTGGTGTTGTGGCAAACAGGATGTGGTGAAAAGAAAAGTAGCTAAAAGGTGGTTACGCACTCCGCTTCGAGACATGCTGTACTTCCCCATGAAGCTTCTGCTGTGGAGGAAGCAGCTTCTGCAGGAACAGCCGGCTACTGGGCTATTAAGCGCTGCCAGAGCATTTTTCTGGGTGGCTCTATTATCTTCATGTCCTCTGACTCATTAGGCGATTCTTAGAGAGTTCAAGATCATTCTGGAGCATTGCTCCTGCAAAGAGTTGTGCCATCTTCAAGAGATGAGAGCAACCTATTCGCCTTCATGAAGAAAAAAGATGCAAATAGAGGACAGACACTTGTTTATGCAAATGTTATGAAGCCTCCAGACCATCTTCATCCCCCGAAGGGCTGCTGCCATGCTGCTCACTGATTGAGTTTCCTGCTTTTACTCTGATCCTAAAGGGCTGAGCAAAGGTTTTGGTCTCCAAGCCCAAGCTGCCTGTCCGATTCCCTGCAGCTGCAAACCTGAGGGAGGCAGCAGGGAAGGAATTTGGGCCAATCCCACAGTGAGACCTGGAAAGCACTGATCCTAAAAGGATTTAAGGGCTCATTAAGGATAAACACTTCCAGCTGATAAGGCCAGCACCATAATTAGACATACTCTTAGGAAAACATCCAACAGGAACAACTCCATGTAGGACATCACAAAGGCTTGTATCAGACAACTGATCAAAGACCTGGTTTTCACATTTGAAAGAAGGATACTGAAAAACAGAAAAAAACAATGACCTGGAGCTGTAAGAAAGAACCATGATCTGGAAAAAGCAGCTTACCAGTCCTTATCTACATTGCTTGTCAAAGGAAAAAATAGGTAGCTTGATGAAGTTTTATTATTAGTATACAGGAATAGAGCATTGTATACTAGACAGCTCTGAGAAAATAAAGGCACAGGAAGAGCCAGCAGCAAGGGGATGAACCAGCAGAATTACAGCTCATGATCAGAGCCGCGTTTGACTCGGGTTGATTTAAACTCCCCCGAGCAGGAGCTGCCTCCCGCAGGGCGTCCGCCCCAGACCTGCACACGCAGGTCCAACCTCAGCCAGGGTCTCTCCACATCCCCGCCATACAAAGAGATAACAACAAGAGTAAAAAGGTGATTAGACTTCTAATTACCTCACCATATTTATTTTCACAGCCTTTTGCATAATGCTTGCCTAAAATTGAAGGTACTTTACCACAAGCAATTATGCTAATGTTTGGAAACAGAACTAATTTCATGGCAAAGAACAAGCTAGAAAACGCAATAAAATTTAAATGAACCACCACAGCAAAGAAATACAACATTTTCTAGTGCAATGCAAAGTCTTCTGTTAAAAACAGTCGTGTTTAGTAGGTTTTTTTTCATCCATTCTAAACCCTTCTTCAGAAGAAAACAGCTTCAGAAGTAACCGAAACTCCAGCAAGTGGTCACAGAAGACCTCCTCATTTCCAGGTAACAGAGGGCAAGTACTGCTATGACTGTACCAAGGGGAAAGGAGGAGAAAACCTCTCTGCACATCTGTGAACTATATACATCTCAAGATCTGGGCAAGAAGCTACCGTGTTCCTGAAACTCTGGGCTCTCTAATTCCAGGTTCCATGGCTACGAACATGAGGAAAAAAAAATAAAGATATAATCCTTCCAAGGTTACTGTTACCTAAATGTAATTGCTGTAACTGATCAATAACTGCAACATTGTTCACTGCTCTTTGGAACCAACTATTAATAAAAAGTATTCAATTACATAAATAGAAATATCCATTACATACAAGCTGTTCTGACTTTTTTTTTTCCTCCCCTTTAAAAAAAAAAAAAAAAAAGAAGAAAAAAAGATTTCTTCATTTTATTGCCACAAAACAGAATCAAACAGTCAGCCTGTGTTCAGCTGCTTAAAATTTCACTTATTTTGCAAGGTATTAACGATTCAGCACAGGCATCCAAACCGAAGCACACACTGAGAGACGTCAGTACAAGCAAACAAGGTATCTGCACATTTACAGCATAATACTTTTGGCCAGAATTTTTATGCACGAAGACACAGACTACGTTTCAATTACCACAATACAATAGAAAGCTCCATGAGACTTCTATGAACACGTACTTAAGACTGGTGTTCCCAAAACCCTCTTTGTACAAAGCTATGAAAACCATTAATGACCATCTGCGATACAAGAATACCACTCATTTTGATCTGGCAATATTTAAACTCCCATTCCAGAATATTCTCATACCTGCTGAGCCGCACATTCCAGGTGAGCAGGAAGGGTGGACATTCCCATTCCAGCCAGGAAGGGCAACCAGCTAAAAGCTCAGCAGACCCAGAGATGCCCCCACGGCCCCACCTTCCCCGGGAAATGAGGTGCAGCAGCGCTCTCTTCTTGGGCCTTTGCTCCCACTGTTAATTACAGTCTCCGTGTGTTTGAGACAGGAATAAATAGATCCATTGGTCTCCTCGAGTCTTCCCATCCTGGTCTATGCTTTTGTCCCCATTTTGCAGGGAAAGAGCAGCTCTACAATCCTAGCAGACATACGCCAACCCAGCCCTCAAATCTACTGGACAAGGATTTCACAAGCCCCTCATGAAATGCATTCCCCTGCTTTACCAACCATCCTACTACTAAAATGGTTTTATTCATATCCAGATTTTTTTTTTTTTTTTAATTCAAGTGTTAAGCCTCTGGAAAATTGACTAACCTCACCATTTCTGCAACAGCTTCTCTGTTTTTGAAGATTGTTCAACCTCACTTCTCTGTTTTGTAGCCTACATAACACCCTATTTCAATACTTCCTTGTAGGTCATATTTAGCAGACTGCTAAGTAAGGTCTGCTCGTTCCCACTACTCTTTCCTGGACTCTTTCCAGCAGGTCCATGTATATGTTGTAGTCCAGAGCCAGGATGGACACAATATTCTGCCAAAAGAAGATTACTTCACATGCCTCACTGGCTACAGTCCTGATTTTATATTTAGTCGTGTGATCTAGCTGAGACAATACGGCCTACGGCTCACTGTAACAGCCAAGTCAATTAAAAATGTCTTCCTGATCAGTGGCTCTCGACCCTGTATTTGTGTAATTACTCCAGCACAGGTGTAGAGGACGCTGCTTATTGTGACTGAAAAGCACTGCATGCTTTCCTCTCCTCTAGTTTCTGGAGATCTGTTGCAATTCTGTCCTTGTCCTCGGTGTGGTTACAGCCTCTCAGCACGCTGGGTTCTTCATCCCAGCATTCACACTGTTAACTAAAATGCTGCATAGTAACTGATCTCTGACGCTCTTGTGCAAACTCCCTGGATACATCCTTCCTCGTTCACACCGAAGCACTGATTAACTGTTCCTTAAGTCAATTTTCCCAACAGTTTCACCCCCTGCACACAGCAGTTTCACCCAGGCCACATCTCCCTGCGCTGCTAGCAAGAACATGATGTCAGACAGTCAAGACAACACATATGGTATCTTTTCTACTACTGCTCCCTTATCAACAAGGCTTATTACCCCTGCAGAGGAAAAAAAAAACTTTAACTGATGTGACACATTATATTGTTGACAAGCCCATACCAAGTAATATAATTTTCTCCTCGATGTTTCCAAGTAATTTAATTATTTTCCCAGTAGTTTTCCAGAACATGAAGTTGACAGATTGCCTTGCTTCATCTTCTTCCCTTTCACAACATTTAATTTTATTGAAGACCTTTGTTTTACTAAGTCCTGTTCATATTCCAGTATTCTTCAGACCATCTACAACACTGATTTTTCAGCAGTCATCACAGAGAAAGTGTCAGGCAAGCCAATCTTAAAAATATTTACACGAGTAACATTTTATTGAAATATGACTTACCAATTCTCTGATGAAAGATCTTGTCAAAGGTTAATTCACCCCTTTCCTCAAGGTATTTCTGCATAACACTGCGGATACTGAAAGAAAAAAAGAAGAAGGAAAAATCAAAAAGTTACTTGAAACTGCTTATTTTAAACCTGACCTTTAACATAGTTTGGAGAAGAGCATCACTAAAATGAAACATCAGTGTAAAAGACTCATGCAAAATGAGATACCACTGCCCATCTACTACACCAACTCGCAGCAGAACACACAGTCTGCTGCTCTAGCTAAAGACCGCGAGAGTTCAGAGCAATACAGCCATTAACGTCAACGGGCCTGTAGTCAAGTCACAAACACAGTCACATTCTGTGAATTCAACATTGCAAATTATGTGCCTAAAATTAGCCTTGCAATCTCAGTATTGTGATTTTTAAGGGTTTTTTTTTTCTAAAGGGTCTAGGAGTTTGAGGTAAACAAGAAAAATCACTTTCCCCACTGTAAATATTAATACTATCAAGTGTAGAATAATAGCAATATTAGTACTTATTCGGTGTAGAAGAGACATAGCTTTTACATTTCCAGCTTCACATATCAATAGCCTACACCACACAGCGTGATATTGCTACAATTCCCCTTCAAAAATCTATACTTATCTAATATGGTTTGAAAATGCCGCAACTGAGCATAAATTGGGGAAAAAAGCCATCAGTGATTGCACATAGATCCCTTTGCTGTATGCCACCACAGAAGCGAGAGCACAACAGTTTCCAGGAGGGCTCCCCACCTTTCCCTGGGCTTGCCCAGAGGGGTTTTTATCCCAGTTAGATATTTGCAGGTTGAATGGAAGGGCAGTATGGGGCTGCCACCGGGAGCTGGAGCACTAAATGCTAGGTGTTCCTCTCCAAAACTAGAGAAACCAGACTGCAGGCAGCATCAGGTGGAGCCCTGGCCTGGCCTGGCCTGGCCTCGGGCGAGCTGAGCCCTGGGGTCACAGCACTTCCCAGGGGACATTCTGGTCATCGCTTCATTTCTCCATTCTTGCATCAGGTTTTAGCTTGCACCATGTAAAATAAATGTACAAGTCAATCAAAACTACATCAGCCTGTTAACGCTGCAATTGCCATATATCGTTTAGAAAATGAGCCAACATAAGCTCCATTAGGCCCCTAGCTTGGCTGCCGTGCACTTAACATCTATTTTGCCTAATTTATAATGTCACAATCACTCATTTAAACCACATTAACAAAGATTTCCTTTATTTGTCAAGTAACCTCAATATTCATTTTAATATAATGCCTATAAAAATTTCATATGGGCAACAATACAAGTCCATAAATTTTAAAATCAATGCAGCCCAGCAGTACTGTGCCTTGGTAAAACAACTATATTGTCATAGTATTAAGTCAAAACTCCACTAGACTTTTTCTGTTTCCTATTTTAAAATTAGTACTTTCATATGTGCTATTTATTTTTATAAAAGCAACCAGATATACCCTGTACAACGTACTCATGCCCTAAACAAGATTGTTAAGTACCACTCACGTTTCTGCAGAAGTAAGACTGAGCACCTAACCTTTGTAAAATGCAGACTCTGAACTACTTCATGTCAGGAAAAAAATGAACAGGTCAGTTGTCATGGACAAATTTTAACATTTTCTGGAGAAGTAAAACTAGATTTCTGTGGTTATTTCTCATCCGTTTTTTCTCTAAAGCCTCTTCATTAACACGTTCTCGTGCGGTTTTGGGTCACCGTGAGCAGCAGAGCCCTGCCCAAAAAAGCTGCAGATCTCACAGCCAGTCCCGCGAAGGGCTGGGACCGTCCCCCTCCCATGTGCTTCCAAGGAACCCAACACCAGAGCTTCTGAAAAATTTCTGAAACCCCCCTCAGATACCAACAAACACCTCTTCCACCATCTTTGAGGGAGGAAAGTATTTGCACTGCTCCCCAAAGGAGGCCCTGAGGCATGAAGTCTGAATGACTTGGCCAGAAAACGTCTGCAATAGAAGCCAAGAAATTAGCTTGAAGGCCCTAAAACCCAACCTAGGAAATCATTCCATTAATAGTTTTCATGTGTATCTCAAAGCCCCACATGGAACACAGACCTACAAACACTGTGATCCAAAGTGTGAACTCCAGAGGCTAACCACCACATCAAGTTAAACAAGAATTGGGAAGGGCTAAATGTTGTTAATCAGGTTTGAGATTATAAATTATTCATTGATGAACTTGCTAGTCTTTTTATTTGTTCATTAAAAACTAGGCCTACTCTCTGTATATTTTAACCATCTAAACAAAATACTGATTTCAAAGGAAGAAGCAGCAGTAAATAGAGACCGTGCTCTGTACTCAGGAAAGGTATGGTAGTAAAATAAAATTTATCACATGACAGAATTGCCAAGTTTGGCTGCCTGCTTTGTGGGTAGATTTTTAAAAACATACATCCTAGCTTAACATGTTTAAAATGGTGACCGTTAAACTTAATTCTTCTCTTAAATCATACGATGTTAGCACACTGATGGCAAACACCCGGGTTGTACCAACGCCACCACGCGCTGGTGAGCACGGGCAGCAAAAGCAGCTGCAGCTCTGCCTGCCCCGTCCCCGCTCTCCCGGCCAGAGCTGCCCCGGGCTCTCCGTGCTCACGGGAGGATCACTTCCAAAGCTGCGTGCTTTGCATCACCCAGGACCACAGCCTGCCCCCTCCTCGGCCTCCCGGCTGACCCCAGCCCATCAGCGCTGCCCAGCGCTGCGCTCCTCAGCCCGTTCCCACTGACCGCTAGACCATTAGTAACATAATAAGCCTTTTTAATAATAATGACATCAAGAAAGCCTTCCTCTGCTCAAACAAGTGCACTGCAAGAGATTACGTAAACGTTATCTTAGTCTAGACAATGGGAGAAGATAATGAAAAATTTAACGTATGACTGAAGGGTCCAGGAAAACACTCTGATTGTGTAACGAACAAATCTCTTCAGCTCTTCTCCTCCTCTCCCCTGACATCCAGTACTTCTGCTCTGATGGATAACATGTCAAAGGAACAAAACGTTTTTGCAGCTATAGAATCTGAACAAATCTGTAAAATGATCACAGGCTACGGGAGTCCACACTGCATTCCAGCTTCTAAACAACAGACATTCACCCCTTCAAATTTATTTCTCCTTACACATATGAGTAAATAGGAATAAATTACATAGAATGGATTATGACTACCCAGAATAATCACCTTCTAATTCTCACATGAAAGTTAAAGGTAAAAATCCTACTGAGTTCAAAAGAAATGACACTGAGTCCATATATCCTTCAGAAGGATGGAAAATTTTAAAATGGAGCCTAGCACACTCCACAAACAGGAAGGAAGGTTCCTTCTCTGCCTTTGCATATTGAATCATTAGTTGCCCTACACACAAACAATCTGGAATTAAAAGCTGCATTTCACAGAAAAGTAGCCAGTTCTGAAAAGCTTTACATATCCAAATATGCTTTCAGCGCAAACAATGCACTGTGAGAAGTGGACTTTTTGCATAAGTTCATCCCAGTTCACAGCATGATCTACCTTAATAGCAACACTCGAAATAAGCAGAAACAAAAGCTGACTGAAAATGAAATCCAGGGAGACTTCAGAAACAAAAGCACATCCGACTGTCCTGTAGCAAAACCTTTTGTGCATGTATTTTTTATTTCAGAGAGGAAGAAAATAGCAAACAACAAAAATTTCAGAAACTCTGTTTGCTATCCAGGTACCCCAAGTCAGCTGAAATAACAGGACAAGTATATTTAGGGAAAATCAAAAGTCAGACTTAAAATGTTGTGAGAAATGCCACTTGGACTCTGGATACCTCTTTGCTGGTTTAACTGGGACCAAATTTAAGCAGATACCTGGGAGCACAGTGCAGCCCTTTGCTCCAAGCTCAGTCAGAGAGAACTAACACAGCAATGACACTGTAAAGTAGTTTGGGGAAAGATTTCATTGCAAATAAAACGAGCATCTCAATCCTCAGCAGCACGAAGGGTACCACCCCATGCTGATGTCGAGGGGTGTGGGCAGCAGGTTGCTGCATCACGGTCACGAGTGCTCAGCAGGCTCCTCTCTTGCAGACCCACGGGAGAAACTGCCCTTAAAAAAAGAGCTGAACAGAAACACCAGGCTTGCGAAGCAGCTCAGAGCACGCTGCGTGCCGAGAAGCAGGCGGAAAGATGGCTATCTGCATCGTCATCAAACTGTAAACTTGGTGAACAGCACAGGTCACTCTAACCTGGTCAGCTCCTCCACCTCCCCAGAAAAGGTGTTTATGACAAGTGTGAGCTGAAGAATCTGTTAAAAGGAGCTTTACGCTGCATCTTGAAGCTCTGGTTACCATAGCCAGCATCCTGGTCTTTCAGATTTGATCAAAGAAATCCACTAAAAAGCAACCTTCAAGGTTAAAATACATTCTGTAATTAAAAAGCTCTCACTGCCTACAAGCATGCATGGTGGCATGCAGACAACAGTCGCAATGCCAAGGTCAGTAGAGGCGGAAAATGCCCACTTGAAAACACATCTTCTGAAAAACTAAGAAGAAAACACATTATGTTCTTCTTAACACAGAAAAGGACGCGTGTATGGCAAGAGCACCACTCATCCACAATTATCCCTTCAGTCGACCTTCACCAGAAGCAGCGAAGCAGGAGGTGCCTTAGAGAGGGAGCTCAGCCCAGAGCCAGGATCTGTCCTTCGCTGCAGCCAGAACCACAGCAAGAGTTACTGTTCCCCCCGTACCAGACCCATCATATTTTGAGACTCCAAGAATAACTGTAGCTATCAGAAGAAATCAAACTGCCGCTCCTGTATGACTGTATCTGGAACTGCACAGCCCGCCGGACGGCCAGCGGAACCCGAGGAACAGTCCCTCAGGCAGCCGGGAGTACAACCGCAACGGATTCGGGCGTATGCAGAAACTAGACCTTATGGAGGGAAATAAAATAAACAGCATTCACTTTGACATTTCCTAAAAGTTCTGCTATTAATTTCTAAGATGCATGGATTTTGTCCCCATGGGTTTGTTATACTAAATTATGCAGGAGTTCTTTTGAAAGCATCTTGCACCTAGGAAATGG